AAAAAAAAAAAAAAAAAAAAAAAAAAAATGGGAAGAAGGTCTGGAAGAAATTGTACAAATTTTAAAAATTCAAATGTACCTTAATCAGGTTTTTGGTGAAAGGATTATTTTTTAAAGATTCAGGAAATTTCTTGAAGAATTAGGAAACTGCACAATTTTTGCAAGTTATTCCGATGATGTTTGATAAATAACGCGTGATAGAAAAGAAGATGGTTTAATGGAGAGTAAATGAATCGTTTATTTTTAATTTTGTCTGTTTGTAAACGTCATTTCCAGATTAAAGTCTCCTTTTTATAATTAATAAAAAAAGCATCGGTGGTAATCATTTAGAATTTCAAGAACATACACTTTCTGCTCCACTTGTTGTAAATAATTTATCGTAGTCTTGCGTTAATTTAACCCTCCTGACGTCTATCGCAATAAAATATTCTTCTGCGTTGAATTTAAAATATTTACTCGTTGTTTCGTGTAATTTAACGTTACTTAAAAAGGGAAAGAAAAACTCGTATGGGTTTACGTCGATTTACATTAATCGAACTGGTTTCTAAATTAGAAATAAAATTTATATTTAGAAAATTATGAAAATAAATAATGATAAATAATGATATAATTTTATTTAAAAGGCAGATAGGAAACGCGAGCAACTTTTAGTATTTTTATTATAACATTAAATGGTAAATAAGACATTTTAATTGAAAACGAAAATGAAGTTATAAGAACAATTAGATTGTATTACATATGTTTTACATATTACGTACGAAATTTTGTATATTCTTGTTTTATACGTTACATACGAAGATTTGAAGGATATGTTTGATGGTCTCCAATTGAAGAAGCTTGAAAATATTGCAAAATCAAAGCAATTAGATTGGTGCAAGCAGAGTCTGTGTCGTCGTAACGCTGAACTGATTCTTCGAAACGCGAAAACATGCAGAAATAAGGAAATCATTATCTAATTATCGTATGAAGCGTACAGAATAGAGGCTAGAATGCTTGAACCGGTGCACGATTTCCCTTTGATTGAATAATGATCAATCGTGGAAACACAATGGCGTGTTAAAATCAGAATGAACGGTCGTCCCTCGGATTGTATCCGATACAATCGTTAAAGAGTCTCTTAAGTTGGAGGAAAATATGGAAGAATCTTAAATATATGCGATTTCTCATTTCAATGTTATATTACGATTTTCTTCGTTAAAAGGAAATAAAATTGAGACTTGAAAATTCAGACGTAGTAATTCTTTGCATAATTATTAAATTTTGTTCTAGTTTGACTGACTTTAATTTAATTTTTATTATTTGCTTTTTCGGAAAAATTGTAATTACTATCATGTACCTTCGTGTGAAAAATTTGTCTAACTTTTCAATGTCAGAAATAGTCAAACTAATCAGACCAGAAACTAGTAGAACTGCCAAATTAGTTGCATCAACCATCAAATCTACAACTCTTATTCCAACTACCTGCATAAACAACGATCGGTATGTGAGATAGACTTTCCGATCGAGTTGAGTTTAATTTATTTAAATATCGCATTTAATCCTCTTGTTACGTAAATACAAATTGCAGAATGGAACATATCGTTTAACAATTCCTATATTTTTGATATTTAGCTAAAATTCTAGCAATAATTAGCTCGTTCGAAACGATCATCTATCGACAGTAAATAGAAACGTTTCGATTTCTACAAATTGTTGAATAATCGACCGATTGTTTTACAAACCGAGTTTGTTAAAAGACTGAAAACTCTTGTTAATACGTTATATCTTGATTAATATTAAGACGTCAGAAAATCTATTAAATCTATACAAATATGCGATAATTCATCTATTTTATTATGACGAAATTTTCTCAGTAAATGTACAATTAGATTGTTAATAATTTAAAAATCCTCGGTTTGAAATTCCTACTGAATCAATGATACTTTTACTTTCGAATGCTTTAATAAATTAAAACCTACGAAATTGCGAATATTTGTTAATAAGAACTATAATAAGCAATAACAAATTTCAACCCCGTTACGACTCCTATAATTCCATAAGAATGTGATAGAAATTTTATATCCTTAAATTTGTGATTATTATTTTATCATCTATTTATGCGTCTCTATTACTTAAAACGTTGATTAAAACCAATAAAGTGCATAAGCAATGCAACTTTACTTATACCGGCTTCACACGCCGAACGAATCGTTGACATAGCCTGGTTCAATGCGACAAGTTAAATTCGGCGCTCATTTATCTGTGTCAGTGGTGCTTATTATCGCGTACAAAGCGGCGTTTAGCCCGATGTTGCAGCCACGACCGGCTGGTTAACAATTTCATTTGGTCATTGACATTGTGTTCCGACCATTAATACTCAACCTTTGAACGTTCATACCGAAAAACTTCCAATGAACTAAGCTAGAAACGATGTGCACATGCCATAAATAGCATTATATAATTAGCAGTGATTTTAACAAGGATGATTCTACGTGAAGAATTAAGTCAAGATCGTAAAACAGAATGGTGAAATAAATTTTCAGAAGACCCAGGAGTATTAATAGTTAAGCTCTGAACGCTAGTCTGTATTCAGGTTGGATGGGAGTGTGAATGAGAAATGTATGTAAATCAACCTCGTCTTGTAACCAGCAGGCAAAAATTAATAAAATATGTATGTAGGTATATATAGTTGATCTTTGAATGTCCATATCGAAAAATATTCCGATGAACTAAGTTATGCTACAAACGTATATCACGTAACAGCCCGTAACTAGCAATCTCATAATTAGTAATATTTTAAATGAGGCGATTTCGCGTGAAAAATTAAATGGAAATCGTGAAACAGAATGTTGTCATTTGATGCTCCATTTTTTAGAAAATTAAGTTCGATACAGTGAAAATTCAATAGTTTCCTATTACGTGTAATATTTAGTCTGTTAATAAATTATATTTAGAATCTAATAGTATAATAATAATAATAATGCAATTACTAAACTGTGAATATTTTTGCAAATTTTTCTTTTTATGAATGTTATTTTTACGAAACAGTAATAAAAGGTATAATACACTATGCACTGTAGATATTTTGAGTGTTTCTAATTCTACATTTAAGTTTCTGAAAAATACATAAATATTCTTACTCTACTTATCATAATTTCTTACAACAAATGAACGTTATAATATAATACAGGGTGGTTGGTAACTGGTGGTACAAGCGGAAAGGGGGTGATTCTACGCGAAAAAAGAAATCGAAAATATAGAATAAAAACTTTTCGTTCGAGGCTTTGTTTTCGAGAAAATCGACTTTGAATTTTCGCTCGGTACGCGTGCAGTACATTATAGCGGGTCTCACTGTAGATCGTTGTCTCGATGGAAAAATTAAAAAAAAAGAAAAAAAATTTTTCTATATTTTCGACTTCTTTTTTCGCGTTTAGAATCACCCCGTATAATAAATGAAACTAAGTTAAGAATATTTTCTCCACCATAGTAATTAGTACTAAATTGTGAACTTGATCGCGCTCACCTGTTACGCCGGAAATAAGGTTGCTTCTTTCTTAAAAAATTCTGTCGTCTGTGTTTACTGACTTCCTTGCTTCCTTGTCGCTGACTTCTCCTACAAAACGTGAAACTTGTTAGAGTCAAACGACGTTATGAATTCGATTACAAGTTTATTTATTATGATCTTTTCATACTCGATAATTAAATTCCCCTGAAGTAAATTAATAAAGTTGCAAGTTTACTATTCAATCGTAGATTCAGTAATTTGTTACTAACAACGAGTTGATTCTGCCTCGAGCTGGAAATTGTAATTTAAACGGCCATTACTGTAACAAAATATTCAAAACGATACAATATTCTTCCTGCCGTTGTAACGATCCAAGTATCGCTCAAAACTCATGCAAATATCCCCATAATTTATTCATGCCCAATTCCTTGCAATTACGTCGAGTGTTCGCATTAAGCGCAATTAAACTTCCTCGGGTTTCAAATCTCGAACTTCCTCCTTACGAAAAAGATCACATCTACGTATAATTCATCCACAGTCGATCGTTGTTGCACAGATTACTCGAACTAATAAAAAGATCATGCGCTTATTATACATTCGTCGCTTACATAAACGTTCACACGAACACGTGTCCTATTTAAGTTTCTTTCAAAGTTACAGCCACGTTTCTGTTGAAATAAATCCACAAATGCTTGACTTTCAGAATTTCCAGGCGCATGTCAAATGATACAAAGCCGAGGAAGGCCATTTCGAGGGCCTCTCATAAAGGTAAGCAATCGAGGATTGTTGTAACACAAAGATGGCTACAAGTTTGGAACAAGGTCAGACGGGCCACATGTCCGTATGAACATTTTCATTGTTTTTGTGTCTCGTGTTTACTCCTGAAGTAGGGTTCCACGTGTTATGGCACACCCTGTATTTTCTCTCCTTCTCGTTTAATATTCTCAATTTGCTCCGTGTACTTCGCGAGCTAACTTTCATCTTTGAGCTCACAGCTGAAACTAGGAAAATAAATGAAAACACTCGCTCAAACCATTTACTACGTACATTCGTATGGAAAAAAAGATAGATCGTTTCTTTCAGGTGAGATGTAGGTCAAGATTCATTTCGTCCTCTAGAATCGTGATCCTCGAATTGCGTATTTCGAACAGTATACTTTGGCTCAAATGTTTGTCCACGCTAGAGACGTCATACGTAATTCACTGCCAGAAAATATTGTCCAATCTTCGGTATACAATAAAATAAATAGAAAAAACACATAGGTAAATAAACGCGTGAGAAATAGAACAGGAAACAATATCTTCCTTTTTATAAAGATACACACCTTATTATAACTATTATGATTTTTAGCCATTTGCGGCCATATATCAAACAAAGCTGTCGACCAAGCTTAACATGCACCATGTGCACGACAAATGATACAACTAAGAATCTTGAAAATACATCTAAGCTACATTGTTACATACTTTATACACTTGTAGTTATGTATCGATGTCTCTCACTCGCAGATATTGCAATCTATCTTTTGTCAAAGAAACATTGACATTTTCTTGAAAAAGGAAACATTGCTTCTATATATCGAGCGAATGATACACGTGCCAGACATTTCGTATATTATGCGAGATGCCTCAGCTAAAAGAGGCCACCTAAATACCGTCATTGTTTTTATAACATAAAAAATATCTATGTCACAGTCTAAATAGTTTCAAAAATGAAATACATACCACAAACCATTTATTTTCGGGTGGTTTTTTTTTTATATTTGTATCATATCTGTTGCATACTAATTACAATGTTGAATTAAATTAGTTTGCTGTCATACTGAATCGTACGCATCACGTAACTATGAGCTTTTTAAGTGAAACCACATCTGTTTCCTTTCATTGTATTGCAGAGAACATTACGCAATACGAAGTTTATAGAAGAAACTATAATATATTATAAGTAGATAAATGCAAAAATAACGTATTATAGTGATATTATAATTCCATGTTTCGCAGATTACAAAAGTTTGGAAAGGAAAGTTTCGATTTGCAAATTTCGGTAGAGGAAGAGATAGAAAATGGCGTCACCTTTGACTACTTGAGCGACGCCCTCGCGTCGCACTGCGTTCGACGCAGCTTAAGTATAGTAATCGATCTCCTAATTCTTACTTCCTCAGAGTACATTAGGGGAACACGTCAACCGGCTCATGAACGCTCGGCACCGAAACAATGTCACCGGGAATATATTTACGCGTCAGCTAATTTTAGAACTGAAGAGTTGTGCCACCTGATAACCGAACCACCTGCCATCCGATAATTGTTACATGAAAATTCCACAATCATTGTTATTAGACAAAAACACATTGTTATTAGATAATTTGCTACTGAAATTATTATTCAACCAATTCCTTTGTAAGGACACACTTCCAAAGTCGTGTTAGAATTTTTCCCTTCGTACTGCTTCCTGTTTTTTTTAACTCGGTTGAGAATTTTGACAAGCTTCGTGCTCGTTTAAGTATGTTGGACCGAGCGATATTTTGTCATATTCGTTTTCACATAGAGAAATTGGACTATGAAGTTTAAATTTAGATACCTTGAGCGATGTAGAAAATTTCTATCAATTTTGGAGGAATAGACAGGTATGAGAAGAATTTTGTAGAAAATTTTTCATTATGCAAATTCAATATCTTTCGATTCGATATAATTATTCTGCTCTATTGTATTCTATATAAATAATGATATATAGTTTACAGTCATTGACATCTATATAGTCAGAAGCGCATGCGATACGATAGTTGAAATCATATTATTAGATCATTGCCATGGTAAACAATTGTAAGTTGAATTATACTGTTTGTTGAACATTTCGTTGAAAGTAAATTGAAGTAGGAAATTACACGAATAATTTAATTGTTTCTTCAACATTTTGCTATATCCAAATTTAAATCCGGAATAAGATTTGTCTATCCTTAATCGACTCTTGTTCTTCGTCCTAAATGTAATGGTAAATAATTGTGAGTTGAATTATACTGTACGTTGAACATTTTGTCGAAAGTAAATGGAAATAGGAAATTGCATGAATAATTTAATTGTTTCTTCAATATTTTGTTACATCCAAAGAGATGAATAATTAACTTAAATCCGGAATAAGATTCCTGTATCCTTAATCGACTCCTGTTCTTCGTCCTAAATGTAATGGTAAACAATTGTGAGTTGAATAATATTGCATGTTAAACATTTTGTCGAAAGTAAATAGAAATAGGAAATTGCACGAATAATTTAATTGTTTCTTCAATATTTTGTTACATCCAAAGAGATGAATAATTAACTTAAATCCGGAATAAGATTCCTGTATCCTTAATCGACTCTTGTTCTTCGTCCTAAATGTAATGATAAACAATTGTGAGTTGAATAATATTGCATGTTGAACATTTTGTCGAAAGTAAATAGAAATAGGAAATTGCATGAATAATTTAATTGTTTTTTCAATATTTTGTTACATCCAAAGAGATGAATAATTAACTTAAATCCGGAATAAGATTTCTCTGTTCTTAATCGACTCCTGTTCTCTTCGTCCTAAGTGTAATAAAGTAAGGATATTACAATCGAAGAGATAGGGGGTGGGGGGAGACAAAGAGAGACTGAGAGAGACGACCGTTATGCAATAGTTTAACCATTTGTCTATTCCAATTGGCGTCATCATATCGACGACCGATTATCTTTCACAAAATAATCGATTAGAATAATCGATTAAAATAATCGTATCACAGTTAAAATCACGAGTATTCGCATGAAAGTCATATTTGAAAGAACGACTCTCAAAATTGTTCAGAATTTACAACAAATTCTGTCTTATCTCTCATCTATGAGCAATAAATTAAAATAACAAATTTATAAAAATTGACTGCTTCATTGAAACGGAATGAGAATATTGAAAATAGAAGATTGCAAGAAATTACATTGCAAGAAATTTAATTTCTACAATTAATATGAATATATGAATTTACGCTTTTCATTTTTCGTACGTTTCATATTAAATTAAAATAAAAATTAAACGTTGAAAGAAAGATTCTAAAAATATAGAATTCATACCGATAAACGATCTCACTTTTTATTTGTCCACAGTAAATTGTAATATATATATATGTGTGTGTGTGTGTATATATATATTTTTTCTATATTACAAGTTATAAAAAGAAAAAAAGAAGAAAGAGAGTTTAGCAACTTAACTTGATACAAGTTCGTATTTCACCAATCAATTACGGTTTATAGCGTTTTTATTAGGGTGCTAACACAGTCTATATTCGTACATGTATTTCACTCTACTAATTCTCTGTCATTGTACGATGCTATCGATACACAGTTCTATTCAAGATTCAATTTAATATCAGCGAATCTTTCCTCTGACCCTTTGTACAGTATTCCTATTCTTACTATACAATTTGTTTTATACGATCAATTTATAATATTAGAAGCGAAATGAAGAAACATACCTAACTCTATTAATAAAAATTCCAACAACCTTTAATCTTATACCAAGAGATTAAATATTCCAGTCTTCTCAAATTGTGCACCACTCAAATTGTTTCAAACAATGACTAACGCACAAGTGCATACAAAATTTATTGAAAGAATCCAATTAAGCAGTGTTTGCAATTCAATGGCTTTGTTCTTGGATGATGAATTCAGCGTTTAACAAAATTCTTCAATCGTTGGAAAAATATAAAGAAATGATATCTCTTTCTTTTTCTATTTACATTAAGACATTTTCAAACTTTTAAGTTTCTTCTAAATTAACAAATTCCCGAATATTTGAACTTGGAATTCACAAATATAGAAATTCTCAATTTGCGGGCTGTCGAACTTTCAACTTCATAATTTACAAACTTCAAATCCCCGAGTTCGGAAGTCTTCGATTTTCCAATTTACGAGCACCCAAACATTCAGATAAACTTGCAAATTCTCAAGTTTCAAACTCGCGAGCTCACGAATTTCCAAACTACAAATTCACGAACTTCCAAATATCCTAATTTTTAAATTTCCAAACGTTAACCTCGCGATTCAACGCGATTCAGAGGCCACGATCTCGCTACGAGACTTGCAAAAATCTCTCTTCGCAATCCCTAAAATATAATACACAAACCACGACTCTAGAAGATTAACCGAAACTACGACGGAAGAAAGGGAAGGGATAAACGAGTACTCGTAAGACCTAACAAAGAAGAAGCAAATTAGCGTAGCAAAGAAGGAACACGTTCGTTAAGGGTGGACAATGACGGAGAACTCTGTTCGTCTAGACTCACCAGATTAAACACATCCGCAGCGGGGGAAAAACGAAAAATCGAGCCGCCAGACGGTGTACGCGATCTCTTCGTCACGATGGATCTCCTAACGCTAATGTGGACGGTCCAGAGGATGTCTAGCGACTGGGCCGCGTTAAACCGCGGAACATTTCAATTTCCAACGCGACAAACCGCGAGCGAACTCCATCGTCACGTGACGAGAGTTAGATACTACGCCTCCGGTGCAACCACGGGGAGCAGATGGATTTCAGACGCGTTTCACGATGAGCAGAGATCAGCAGTTTGTCATTTGCTCTAGCACAGAGAGCTCTCAGACCGGAGAGGAAGGTGTCGAATTTGGAATTTTGAGGATTCTCGAGATTCAGACAATTTGGAGATCTGGGAAATGGGATTGGAATTAGAATCGAGGTGAGATTTTGTTTCTTTTTTTTTTTTTTGGAGATCTTGGAAGTTTTGGAGATCCAGGGAGTTTGGAAATCTGAAAATTGCAATTGCAAAGTTTATTTGGAGATGGTGGAGATCCAAGGAATTCGAAGGTTTAGAAATTGAAATTAATCGAGACGAAGTTTGTGTGGGAATTTTTGGGATTCTGGAGATTCAGAGAATTTGGAGATTGGCAATTAGAATTAAAATTGAAATTCAGGATTTTTGACAGTTCAAGTCTGGGAGATCTGAAACGTATAGTGGATTTTGGGAATTTCGTTCGCGAGCAAGTTTTGACTTGATATTAGAAATTCGAATTTGATGTGAGATGAAGTTTCTAGATCTTGGAAGTTGAATTCTTCTTTGCTGAACACTTTTCGACGTCACCAGGGAGTAACATAACTCACGCAGACATGGTTTCTTCTTCGATTTACAAGGATGCCTATAAAAGAAGGCCAAACGACCCCATTTGGCCATGTGAATCATATAAATTATATGTACCTATTAGCGTCAAGTTTGGAGGAGAACACATCGATTGACCCACAAAGGGGATCACAGTCGTACGAACGCCAAAAGAACCAAAGGTTACCATTGATCAAGGTTAATAAGCGTATCAAACCATTTTTTTAATTTTCTACATTGTACGTTCCACACCTATGCAAGTTTATCATCTTCTAAACTATGTTTTCAACCCCTGATGTTCTTTAAATTGTAAAATATAAATTACGAGATAAATTTAAACATAGAATACAAAGAAACATTAAATTTCTTAAAATTATATAAACCCAAACTTTAAGTATAAATTAAATATAATTAAATTATGATTAAATGTAAATTATAAATATTATAAAATATAAATTACCAGATAAATTTTCTACATTGTACGTTTCACGCCTACACAAGTTTATCATCTTCCAAACTATGTTGATAAATTTAAACATAGAATACAAAGAAACATCAAATTTCTTAAAATTACATAAACCCAAACTTTAAGTATAAATTAAATATAATTAAATTATAATTAAATATAAATTATAAATATTGTAAAATATAAATTACGAAATAAATTTTCTACATTGTACGTTCCTCGCTTACGCAAGTTTATCATCTTCTAAGCTACGTTCTCAACCCCTGACCTTCTTCAAATTGTAAAATATAAACTACGAGATAAATTTAAACATAGAATACAAAGAAACATTAAATTTCTTAAAATCATATAAACCCAAACTTTAAGTACCCACAACTCAATTTTGATACTAATTAATATTTAATAAGAATCATCAAAATAACACGAGTACGTAATTAAACTATAAATATAAATTGTTGTGTTCATAAAGATATGAATTTGCACAAGCAGGAGATATCTGTCTTACAAAGTGCAAGAGTAACATTAATACAGCGTTATTAGTAAGCTCGTTGATAAAGCTGCTCCCTCTGATATTTATCCATGATTGATAACAATAGTGATACGAGACAGCTTGCCGTCGTTGCGGTTATTCGCATGGATAGACGATAAAGAAATTGAGCACAGTATGATGCACGGATCAGCCTACGAGTTCAAAGGGGATATATTGATCGTAGAAGGTGTGTATACGTATATGCTGAGGTATTACTCGGTCACTCGACCCACTATGATTTCCTCTGCATTATTAATAATCATTAGTTCGTTTGTAGTTCTTAAGATTAAGAAGAAATTTACTTTGTTTTCATTAAATGGGTATTCGGTATTTTGCAAAAATAGCGGCGTTTCTTTTTGTGAAATGTATTTAAATGTAAATTCTACAACAGCAAGTGATTATCCGTGTCTTTAAATATAATTTTTACTTTAGAAGAGAGAAAGTTTGTAATTCCTGCTTACGTGTTTTGGGGGGGAAAATGATACAAAATATAAGAGAAAATAATTTGATAAAACAGTAAAAGAGAAAAAAGTAAAAAAATGGTAATATTGTAATTTTTACAATAACGTACTTTAACGGAATAGTATAGATAGAAAAGATACAATGAGTCACTTATGATTTTAATAAAATGACGTAAAGTTTATTAAAAGGGTAGTCATATATGCTTCGTGTATTTTGATAGAAGTAAATTAACAAAGAAAGGTAAATCAGAGCTGATGCCAAAAAGCAACAAGGTACTTCGATCAGGCCTCAAAATAATACTACGATATTCAGCAATATTTTCAAAATTATATCACAGAATTTAGGAACTAATATTTGCAAGGAACAAAAATTCCCTTCACTGACAAAGAACTATCAATTTCATCATTTTTACGAGTTCTAGATCGTTTATTTTACAATTAATAAAAATATACAAATATTCCTAGTAACATTAATTCTATTAAAATAGGACTATTATTGCATATTATTTTTCTTCATCATATTATTATTATATTATATTCTATATTTGCTTATTTCTATCATATCACTCAAATTGTAATCGTTTATCTCTGACATATTGAAGCACGCATTCAAGACCAGCAGCTGTAGCGTCAATACAAAAAGAATCTTTAAATAACACTTACTTTTCATCCCCTCGTCACACGAAGAAAGAAAATCGATGTTGTAATTTCCAAGAAGAAGAAATAGGATTCAGGGTTACACTGAAAGTGTATCGCTTCTGCACCATCGACGACCCTTCTATAGCTGCACGTTACGTAACCTACCAACCCCCGAACATTGAACTAAAATCCAAAAGTGTTACGATCGAACCACGTTAATCAGCGTCTCATAAAATTTCCTCGTTCACACTCTTTCTATTAATCCCCACAGTCCAACTGCGTTACTTTTATGACGCTGAGAATAAACGGCTCGCTATACATGACTTTGCTACTCAAAGGACTAAATTTTTATTAGGTTTCTTTCTTCTTAACGCGTTTACCACTTTTTACATAGCAAATTCAATTTCAACTTGTCCAATTTGCCGCTCAAAGAGCTACATTTCGCTCATATTTCAATTAACTTTGCATTAACAATTGATAATTTCCACGCACAAGCACCAACTTCGTCTTGACACTGTACAACGTAGCTTTGAATTAACTTAATTCTAGCTTATATTCCGCACGCTTTGACCTATAATTCAAAATCATCCAATGATTACCATACGCGAGCTTCAGCCTTAATTGGACGCACCATAAATTATCTTCGAATTGGATTTAACTTAACTCTGGCTTATATTCCAGATACCTTCAACGATCATTCAAAAGCATTCAATAATTACAAACTTGCTTCGACCATAACTTAATGCACCGTGAATTAGCGTTGCATTAGATTTAGCTTAGTTCCAGCTTCTATCTCAACTATTTATCCAAAGTCATTCACAGATTGTCACACGCAAGTCCACGTTTAAACTTCGAATTCATCACTGAAATAACCAAGGAACTTCACGATTCTTTATACCTGGCCAAACTTATGTTAGACGATCTTTTTTCAGGGAAAATAACTGTTGCCTCGTGCTAAGCCGCCGATGTGAAACACGAGGGTGCGTGTGCTGACCGCACACATCCGGACGAATGTCTTATCGACATGGGGTCGCGTGCACACGTGTGAAGAGAAACTGTCTGCACCAGGTTCGCTTCCAGGTATGTAGGGGCAGCCACCCCAGTAGCGATCTATACGCCCTTTGCTGGAATAAAATCTCATGGCGTCTGCGCTGAAACCCACCACCGTCAACTTTCCCCACTGTACCCTGCTCTATAATCCTGGACAGTTTTGATTCCCTCTAAGGTCCAGCTTTGCATCATTTTACTTTGTGTAAGTACGGTGTAATAGAAAGTTTCTGTCGTATACTTTTTTCTTTTTTTTTTTTGTTTTGTTTTTTAAATAATAGTTTGTTAGATGGAAAGAGAAATTACTGGGATTTTTTGTGAAAGTATTTACAGGAAACTTTTTGAAAGAGAGAAGCTTTTTGTAACGACGTTTAGATCAAAGAAAGAAATCTTTTACGTAAAAAGATCAGGAGTTTTGGACCAATTTTTCTGCGTCTAACATATCTTTATATTTGAATTAGAGTAAGTTCTATTATGTAAATAATAGAGAGATTTTATTATGTAAATTTGAAAGAAATTCGTAGAATAATACTTCAGGAGAATCTTTCAAATTTCCCTGTTCCCAAGTTCTTTTATAAAAGAAGCGCATAAAGTTCTACTATATTAAAAGTAGGCTAAGCTGCGTTATGTGAATAATGAAAGCTTCTGTTCAAAAGTTTTCTTCTATCTCATTTCCAATAATAGTACTACTTTTTGAAACATCTGATATATTCTGAAAACTGGGGTATAAGTTTTATTCAGTTTTCTGTGTCTCCTCTTGGGAAGTTCATTTGAAATCAGAGTAAAAGCATTGCATCAACAAAAGTTAGTCACACTAAAAGAATCTTGGCAAATAAATATTTAAAAATAATAATTTGTAATTTTTCCTGAAATTAGGAGTACGTATATTGAAGAGTGAGTATCAGAGTAATGTGGTGGGGGGAAATGGTTTGTGTCCTTGAGTATCCATTACGTTGTTCCAAGCTATAGCTGGGCTATACGCACTCGTATGTACATATTAAGTTAGATTCATACGTAGTCTATGTATTGCAAATTTTATATGGAAACTTTGGAAATAGTTTAAGGATTGTTGGTATATTTTCATAAAATAAACAATCACCTTGTAACTAGTCACAACAAATTTATTCATGGCTACAACTGATAATATTCTCAGCAATAAAATAGAGATTTCAAAAACAAAAAGGGATCCATTTTATAATCCACACAATAATCGATCATAATCTTCGACATTAATTTATTAATTGAACGAGCAAGGCGTAACAAGTACAGCCTGGCTTTATTAATATAAAAAAAAAGACATACTTGTTTTAAATTTACTTTACCTTAATACAATTAATAAATAATATATTTACGTTGTACTTAAAAACCGAGGGATTTTGTTCTTTCGCGATCATCATCTGTTTCGTTTCTTATCTTACATAAATCGTCTGTATCAAATTCCGTGATCTAATCCACGATATTCATGAATTTTATTTCACATACATCGTCTGTATCGAAAATTCAACGAAATATCATTCTTTGTTTCGGTTAATTAGTTGCCAATTGTCTGTAGAAATAATTTGCACCGTGATTTCTTTGTCCAGAACACGGAAACAATGGCGAAATGATATTCCTACAAAGAGAAAAACACGAGTTTCGCTGGCGAAGCTAGTCGCTTGCTTTGGAGAAACGAATGTCTCTCGAATAAAAAAATGAAATGATGTTTCAAGCGGAGCTTTCTCATCATCGTCGATGAACACATTTCATTTTTCACTTATCAATCTTAAGCTTAGACGAGAATCATAGCGGTTAGAACACATTTACTCGATCATAATCGCGTTATAATCATCAGATAATTCTTAACCACTTAACGCGCAAACGCCTCACACCTTACGCAAGATGTGTTATTCAGTCGTTTGAATTCGACGTAACAATGAAAATATTATTTATGAATTTCTCTTTTAGAACAACAATCAACAAGCTGATAGATTTGTGCTTAACCCTGCTGCATTCTTTACGTTATCTCCGATCAAATATTTCTTTAACGTTACAAAATATATTAAGTTCGAACAAAATATAAAAGCACTTTTACTGCTGTAATGTAAAATTTACGATTCTTTTTTTTTCCTTTTTTGTAAAATAATTTTCAGGCCTATAGTGTAAATATATCGAGTCTCTTAGCTGTGCAATAATAATAAAATAGTAAATAGACTGTTCATATTGAAACATTAAGCATCAATTACTGTAAAACTGATACAAAAATCGATTCGAGAAATTTGTGAAAATAATAACGTTCTGCAAACACATAATCCGGAAGTGATAAAAAAGACTGAATCGAGCAGAGGTTTCAGTTCTTTACGACAGTTACTCATAGCAGAAATTTATAACTGTTCTTATGTCTCCGTGATTGTTTTTCTTTTTTTTTTTTTTTATTTATTTGTACAAATCTTTTCACAGAAGCTTACAAGATAAGCTGGTCAGTGCCAATACTTTTGCTCATCATACGTATAAAAATTGATTTGTATCGTACGTATATACGTACATTGCCAGGCATAAGTATTAAGACACCTAATCGTTACAATTATTATAAGACTCTGACAAATCCTACCTCGTTTAGAATTTTGCTGCATAAAGCAATTCTAATTGAAAAAAAAATGAATTTAAATGAAGTAACAGATTTGTAGCAAAATGATCGAAAAATAAAACTAGTTAATATCTCGAGGTGTCCAAGTATTTATGGCCAACACTGTACTTTCTTTTCTTCAGCAAATAAATATTCAAGACTTGCAACAGAGTTAAAAAAAAATTGCGAAAAATTAATTATTCTGTTTTGCTTCAAGTTACGAACAGCACGTCATGATAATCTACATGCACGTTAAATAGTTAAAGGTCGAACTGTGTGCAGCTCAATCTGCCTCCACGTTCATAAATAAACGTCTTTATTTTTCCTCGCGATCTAACCGACCAAGTATCAAAATATCACTGTTCGATTGAAATTCCATCCGCCATGCTGTCAGAGAAGACACGGCGGCTTGGAAACGATAAAAAAAAAAAAAAAAGAAACAGTTCCTTGTCAGGCGATACCATTCACAACCATATTTTATAATAAACCGCATTTCAAGCACGCTTGTACCATTAAATCAGACACGCCAGGCGTCGACCTTTTTCAATCTTCCTCGCTTATTTGCTATTCACGCGATCAACGCATATTTCTAAAAAAATACATCAGAAAATACATCTTCTCCATCAAGAAAATGGAAGATCTTAAAATTAGTATTAGATGATCTTATACGCGGCCGAATCGAGCCGCTGGTTTTATTAAACAGCTAACTTATCACATTGGCCATAGTTCTTCTATTTTTTCTTTTTCCTCCCGTCACTCTATCTTCTTCTGATTCTTCCATTAATTCTTTTCTTCTACCGCTTCGTTCTACCTCGTTTTCTCGTTCTTCTTTCCTAATGTACTCCTCACCGACCTGTTACTGTACCATTTCCAGGGCGCACAGTTCAAGAGAAGGTCTTGATGATGTCACGGAGACTCGTATAGGTTCCAACTATGAGACCAAGGACCGCGAAAAGTACGAGCGACATGTTCTTTGCTATCATTATCGCCTTTCCTGTGCGGTCGTGCACATGCCAGAATGTGCAGATTTGAATGAGGGCGGGGAACGCCAGGCCCAAACCAGAGAGACACAGAGCACCGAACAGGGATATAAACAGATCTAGTTCCGGAATTGCCACGGCTAACAGGACTGAAATATACGAAAGGAAAAGAGATTATAGCATCAATTCTTCTTAAATTTATTATCGTTTGGAAAAATTTTCTGAGATGTGGCAAGTGATTAGTCAAAGTTGAGATGGACGAAGGGATTGTAACTTTGATGTTCTTTTACGATTTATTATTTAGAGAAATTTGTAGAGAAGCGATTAGATAAAGTTAGGATTGCAGAGAGGGGATGATTACAGTTTTAGTATGATCAGACTAATGATTTTATGGAGTGAGAGGATCGATAAGATTATTTTTATCGCTCAGGAGATTTTGTAGAACAATTTTAGTCGATTAATCAAGATTACGATGGGAGTAGGGATAATTCAAGTTTTAGTATGATCAGACTAATTATTTTGTGGAGTGAGAGGATCGATAGGATTATGTTTGTCGTTTAGAGGACTTTGTAGAGATACTTCAGTCGATTAATCAGTATTACGATGGGAGTAGGGATAATTAAAGTTATTGGTGTGATCGGAGTAATTGTTTTGTGAAGTTGAGAGGCTGATAACATTGTTTCTATTATTTACAACATTTTGTAGAAACATCTGATCGGTTAGTCAACGACAGGATGGGAAAAAGTACGACTAAGTTTTAGTATACTCGATCAGAGTAATTATTATCTGATTTTTATTAGAATTGAATTGTTAGGAAATTTTAAAGATAGAATAAGAAATAAAGTTTTAGTTTCGCATTTAGTTGATCGTTTCAGTTTCTAAATAAAACTATGTTCTATAGGGAATTTGAATTATCAGAAGCAAGTAAGAGGCAAACAAGACCTTTAGCGAGTTAGATTTAGATTCGATTAAGCCTCTGGAATAATTACTCCGAGTTAGAAGAGACCGAGTCACAGGTCAGGGAGAATCTAAAGCAGTTGTGTATATTTGTGGAACAGTTAGTTTTAACCAGTTTGAATCAAACGCGAGTAAGCCTGTACAATTAAAGCCAGGAAAAGCCCCAAGATATAAAATCAATTACTTCCATATCAATTCGTGCAGCTAAAATAACAAAGTTAATGATCAATAGATTACACAGATAGAGGCAAAACTACGTCACGTAAATTAGGATCAAAAAACAAGTTCCCTTCAATGACAAATGTTTCTTTACTTATTAGAAGAACAAATTCAGCATTTAAATAGAATCAAATATAACACATTCCTCTATTATTAAAAGGAGAATTCGTGGAATAACCGCAGAAAGCTTACCTACACCAAACTTAAATTTCCAATTCTAATTAATTCTCAATTCCAATAAATTGTAATCAATTCACTCTACAATTAATTAAATTCTCACTTAATCCTATTGCAAACTAAAACTCAAAATATAAAAAAACCGATCAATTATAAATATAATAATAAGCAAGTACTAACAAACCAAACGACCAGAAGCAGAACGAAACTATGTATCTATTAATCGCTATCAAAAATCAAAGATCCTTTACGAAGGTATTACTCTCATCGCTACAGCAAACAATTCAAAACCTTTTCGCAGACTAATCGCGCGAAGGCTATTGAAGCATCGACGTCAACGTTACAAGGAATTATCGTACAGGGAAAAATGTTTTGGTACTTGAGCAATATACGATATGAGCAACTGAATACTATATCAACAACGGCCATCGTCCGATCTGGCTCGAATTGACGTCACGTTGGGTGAAGGACTCGAAGCATTCACTTACACGTGAAAAGGACGAGCGAAGTCCTCAAGACGTACTCCCACAACAGCTTATGCGAATTCTTCTCAAGATTCGGTGCGAGGTAATCCTTCCAGATGATGTCGATCGCCACATAGCATTGAATCGGATGAGTGAAGAAGATGGCTATAGCCAATAAGATTTGAACACTTTTGGCGAGGGCTAAAGGTTCGTCCAAGTTGAAGGTGATGCTACCCCTGATGCCACTGCCATAACGAACGTAACCAAAGAAACCTAGTCCTGTATAGAGAGCTACGATAACGCCCATTCCAATGTTTAGGACGCCGAACGTACGTATGAAAGTCTTTGGCTTCTTCATTTCGTTCTCCAATGGCATTACCTGCAACAAGAAGGTTCGACAATGTGGTTGCAGTTTAAAGTAGTTCGTAGATATAGCGTGAGATATGAAAATATTTGAGATTTGGAAAATTTAGCATTTGGCTAAGGAAATTTTGTAAGTTCTGTATATTGGAATGTTGAAGCATAGAGTTCTTAAGTACTAAAAATTTCTGAGCTGTCGAGTTTTCCGACTTGCATATTTTCAAATACGTAGACTTTCGAATTTTCTAAATTTTGTAATTATCTAAATGTCCGAATTGCTAAATTTTCGAGTATTCCAATTTCCAAATTATCGAACTTTCGAGCTTACACTTACATCCCAACGAACATTCAAGAATCTGGTTTTCCAAATCTGCGATAATATTCGAATTCTCTAAGCTTTGGAATTTTGTAATTCTTGGTCTCTCGAATTTCCAAATTTTTAAATCTCTAAGATGTTCAGTTTCGAATCTCGAAATTTTCAGATCTTCGAATTTCTCGTAATTTCGATCTCCAAACTTTCAAATATTGAAATACCAAACGAGTACTCACCACGCCAATAGCTTCAAGGGCGAATAGCACAGTGCCAAAATAAAGAGGGAAATTCTCAACATTTCCGATCACTTCTCGATTCTCGAACGACAAAGGCTCCCTGAAGATGTAGTATAATATTATGCCAAAACTGACGAACGTAATGAAATTAGCGACCGTCGAACACGGCGCCAGGAACTTCAGGTTTCTGATCCAATTGACCAAAATTAAAGGTATCAAAATTGCCAACATATACAACCTGACATCAATGTCAGAAACGTATGTTTTCAATGCCTGAAAACAAAAAGAGAAACAATGTTGGTTAAGATAAAAAATCAACGTATTAAAAATGGAATTAATTTGATATTAATGATAATATGAGAAATGTTGATACGAATATAAACAGTTAAAGATGCGATGGAAGTTAGTTGCATGTTACCAGCGATGATAGAAATGATTTTTCAAATTTCTTCGTTAGCAAATTATATTTCACAACGCAGAGAAAATTTTCAATTTTTTCAATTTTATTTTACGTAGATGTCGTATAAAATTAAAAACAAAAATATCTGCTAATCGTCTATGTACAACGTATACGTATTTTGACTTGTTATCGATCTTTTACACGTAAATAGACAATCACAGACATTAAACTTTCAATCTTCTCTTTACTCTTTTTATACGTTTTAAGAACTGACGTAATTCATCTTCCTATTTTTCTGAAATCTCGGAAGCTGAATTGAAAAATCGATTTACAATCCAATATCACGAGGATTTTCATGTCATTTTGATTCAGGGTATTAACAACCAAGTAATTCAGTATGAAAATTAATCGGGTAATTAATTTAAACAACAAGATTCTCCTATATTCTGCGAGATTCTTTCTACATCTATCTATGATAATTTCTTTCCGATAATAAATACCTTTGGTGTACCTCTTGGTACAAAAAGATCTCTCCAGTGTACAAATGACAACTATAAAATGAGATAGAAAAGGCAACAATTACATTTGGACAAGTTTTAAGGTGAATATTTAATAATTGTGATAACAAGTATCACCAACGAAATCAACTTTCTTTCATTCAATAGGACGATGTTTTTAATGAAAGCGATATGATGAAATTGTTTATGCTATCCCTCCTTCCTTAGGAAGATTGTACTATGATTTGTATTATGATAATATTCTGAAGAAGATACGAACACAGACTCGAGGCGTTGCCAAGAAAATTCAAAAAGAAACTCCACTTTTCCTTAGAATTATCCTGTAAATTATCATCAATTTGAAAATCATTTCACAGTGCAATTGTAAAAGAATTCGTATACGAAACAAAAATGACAAGCGTCGCACGGTTGGCCAGTTTACACCGTGTAATTTCTATGGTTTAGAATATTTACAGCGTTACAATACAATAAATTCAGAAATAAAATACGTTGGTCGCGAGACTCGACGCGAGACTCAGATTCTATCTGTAGGAAGCGATTTCTTGGCTGTCCTATACTTTCTACGTTTCTACACTGACAAACAATTCAGAAACGAACAGATCGGCAATTTCGCGTCATAATATACCGATATTACCACATTACTTTTATTCGAAAACTTGAAAAAAAGCAGGAGAAGAAAGGAAGAGAAGACTCCTCTAGCCAACTTGCACAACATGCTAGTTCTTCAACAACTTTACGAGAACTGTTTTTTTCCGTAATTAATCAGACGGACATTCTTGCAGCGACTTATTAAGGGAATTACGCGCTCAAACTTTCAACTTCGAAGATGAATAGCACCGTCTCGATAAGACTGAGCTCCTTAGAACTTGCATCGTGTATAGATGATATAGGAGATAACGTATAGTGGGAATTTCAATTTCGATACAGCGGCCTTAACGCGTAAATGATCGTTTCACGCAACACGCTGTGCAATTCTGCAAGTGTAACGTCGACACAACGATCGTTATCGGTTCGTAGTGTCGTCGATATCGGGCGTAGTTGCGTTTCGAATTCAAGGGCGACCGGAAATGGGCCGCGACTCCGTTCTTAACACATACCATTTACCATCGGCTCAACCTTCGCCTTACGTAATAGAGAAACGTGACGCAACGAACGCGATTCTAATAGGAGTTTCATTTTTGCCACGATACATGGAGTTTCCCGGGACGAGTACAATTTCCCTAGCGTGTTCCGTGAAAGAAAGAGTTTCTTCCCAATGGTAAACTTACGTAAACGTCATTATAGCAACGAACGTATTTTATATAATTATTAGACTGCGCACGTTCCTGCATCTATGAAAAACGTAAAGATGCATAAAAGATAAAAATGCATGATACGCAGAAATATGTGGAATATTCAAAGCACAGTGCTCGTTACAATATTTAATATTTAATATTTTCTTGTGGAAAACACGAGGTTGCTTAAACATTCGCGATAGCAATTGTTGATAAATACGTGGCCAAGGTAGAACTATTTATTCCAGAGAATAATTTTGAAGGGATTTGAAAGATATTTTCTGCTATGCAAATGTGTAATTATATTTCAAAATCCAGCACTTTTCATTTGCACGTAATTGCAGAATTTTGATGGAACCGTCTGTTTTTGATGTTGGAGTAAAAAATCTGGTTAGAAATTTGATTATCGAGGGATTGATCGAGCTTATTATTGATAAGAAATTACAAATTTTTGAATAACTTCGCGCCTAATTTCAAATGTTACAGATACGTCGTTGTAAAAATTACATTTTTATCTTTTTGATAAAAACTTATCGCGATTGATTTTAAATTTCTTGTAAAATCTTTAACCTGCCAGAATATTAAGAATATCTTCATCATATTCGCGCACGATATTCTCATCACAATTATTAGCAACACGAAAATGAAAAAAGAATTACATGTTAATATGTCTTCTTGTTATTTTTCACCTCCTTTAAAATCGAATTCACACGTCCACTTATCAATATCAACTATCAACATGCAACCATGGCACTAAGAATACAAATATGACATCAGACGGTCTCCTTGTCGTAATAAAAACCAAGAATACACTCATTAGAAAAAAAAAAGTAAACAGATCCTTTTGCGCAACCGAATTTGTTGAAGATTTCTTTCGTCGCTTAACAAAAGAGATACAAATGCCTTTATAGTTCCAAATTTTTCAGAGAAGCTCTTCCGCCACTTTATTCGTATCGTTTCATAGAAAATTAGCATAGCAATGCGAAACGTATTCTCGACGAAAGGAAAGGAAAGAAATTCCACGTGTTTGTTGTGAACGTAGCTTAACGATCGTAGAAACATATTACGTTTCTGCCGATAAACTATATGTAGAATCGAAGAATCGCGTAACGCTTTTCACGATCGCTGATTTTATTGAGATCACGATAATTATGCGTGCTTTGGACGACGGAAGAACGTGATTGTCGTTCTTTATCGAACAAGTATGTCCACGTGTTCGCTGAGTAATATCTGAAAATCTGAATAGAATAAACATAACACGTAACGTAATTAATTAATGTAACGATGCTGAGATAAAATACGGTACGCGGACTGTAAAATCTTCGAGCTGAACGTGTCTTTTCGGCGGTTATTTTTGTCGCTAAAGCGGAATAAGATGGCCATATCTCAGAGAAACGAACGATTTAAAAAATTCAACCTTATGAACGTTTGTCCGGCCAAGGTCTCAACTGCAGTGACGAAACAAAACAAGTAATGGCACAGCCAATGCCAATTTTATCGCTTCCTGTGTGAACACATAGTAGTCTAACCGAAACTAAAAAGTAAACCAAACCTACTGCAATACTTATGATTCAAGTGCACGTAAATTAGCCCACACGGTAGTTTAAAAGTACGAAATTTTAAAAAAAAGTGTCGTCAAAATCTACGAGAACGTGACGCATCGACAAGTTTCGTCGTACGTGGAGATTTTGTGC